CTTTGAGTGTCTAGAAAAGTGCTATATAAATGCAATCCATTATTATTAAAGTACCTAAGAATAAAACACAAACAAATATGAAGGAGATTTTTCTGGCTGGCTTTTTATAGCAGATAAACACCTTTAAAATATTTTGCAGTACATCAAAAACTGAAGAAAACCACGAATCAGCATATAAACATTACCTGATGCTGAAGTGAAGCAGAGCAAAGTTAAGGAGGTTTTATTAGCGACACAGCTAAGTGTTTTATAATTTGGCATAATTATTCAAGTTTCAATTTTTTTGGTATTGAACAGCAGAAATCAGCCCTTCCGTCTGTTTTGGAGAAAAAAGTAGCGGCCAGCAGCACTTTACACAATGGTAGACTGGTGCGTAATAAGCAAGTGAATAATGCAAAAAACAGAAATTTTAGTACACTCAGAGAGAGAAAGCTGTGCATGAAGTGTGATTTTCTCATGGTGGAAGCAAAACAGCAAAAGGAAGATGCAATTCATGACAATCTTTTTCAAACGTGAAGCGTAGTCTTGATCTTCTTTTGCTGCTGGTTCAGTGAATTTTGGTCGGAGAGTGATGAAACCTGCAGCTTCAGAATCTGTGAGATGTTGCCTTTCAGCACCCAGTGGAATGTCCCCGTTGGGTGAATGGGGGGGGGATGCACGCTTTGCGTTTACATCGTTTTGCAAAATCCATTTACCAGCCATCATTAGCTGTTTGATGATTGAAACAGTGTTGTGAGCTTTAACCTCAGATTCTGGCGTTTCTAGCAAAATACATTTAGATTTAAAAATCGATTTGGGGTATCAATATCACATTATTCAAACTAAAATCAATTTCTATGAGAAAATCAATTTTTTAAACCTACCCCTACAGTGGTAGTAGTAATGTTAGAAGCTGTAAACCCAAAATAGTTAAAATCTTGATGTTTTTGTTACTGAAGACTTTATTATGGTTCTAACCGATATTTGCATTCAGTTTTACCAAATGACATTATTAGTATAAGAACAGTTTTTACAGCATACATGACATATCTGTGGTATTTGTAGCTAACATCACTGTTGCATAAAATAGTCCTTAAACTGCACTTTTTAAATCAATGCTTTTTTTTCTTGCAACATGCATGCAGCATACATGATATATCTTCAGCATTTGCAACACCTGCTAAGATTGCTGTTGCACAGAAAAAGCCATTCCCTTTTTGGGGGGCTTGGTCATGTGACAATAACTAGCTACAAAGCTTCAGATCTGAAGTGGGCCTGGTAGGCCAGCAAGTATCCATCGTTGTACATGTAGATCTGCTTGTTGGTGGGATTGTAGCTCAGACTAGCCACTGCTTTAGCTACCTTCTCCAGTGGTATTGCTAGTGAGTTGTCTTCTTTGCCTGTGGCTG